GTATAGTTTTAAACACGTTTATAACCAGCATAAATAATAATATTCATGGAAAAAATATTATTAATGACCATAAATTACTCATGGTGATTGATACAATAGACCTGATACAATATGCATTAATATACTCGATTGTAGTAATAATGATTAGCTGTTATTAACAACTATTGAACAATTAATTCATGCTTAACATATTTTAAGTTGCATGATAATTAAGAGGATACAATGATCGTCGTAATCTCTATAGACCAACTAAAATTGAATTTAAGACGGTCAGGTTGATTAAATTAGTACTGTAGGCCTATATTGTAGTAGGCCTAATAATTATTTTCAAAAAAAACAGGTCGCAACTGAGGTAGGATTAATAACTCATATATGTAACTAATAATAGGCCTATATATATTAATAATTTAATATTAATGTTAAGTATATGAATTCGTTTAGTTGTTAGAGAATTCCTTGAAATGCCTATATTATGAGATTTCCTGATCGTAGAATTTGAAAAGTGGTAAACAATTGCTAACCCTACCATCCTCTGCCTTGAGGAACCACGTCTTGACTGTGGCCCAGTAGACCATCTTGTCTCGGCACAAGTCATTGCTCACCAGGCAAATATGATACGATAATCATACGGCAAAACTTGAAATGATAGGCACTTTTTCTATCACATAAATATATCTTGTTTTGCTAGTTACCATAGATATATATTTTGTTTAAAAAAGTAGGGCAGAACCACACAAAAGGACTACCTCCTTTGTAGTGTTCTTTTTAGCGTCATTGGGTCAAATCACATATTGTACAGTATGAAATTCCATTACCTTTGTTTGTTTTGTGCACATAAGTAGTAGAGGACAGAAATTAGAACTGAACTCTTAAGGCATATACGTATTTATGTTCTGACAGTTTCAGTGAACTGTTTCAGAGGTTACAGTTAGCCTACCGGATAGAGGAAATAATTTAAATCGTATGCCTGTCTGCTGTGTACCTCCGGGTATAAGCCTTTCATAACACTGATTTTTTTTGTTTATTTATTTATTTGATTAAACCATGGAGGTATTATTACCTCCATGATTAAACTTGTTACCTCCATGATTAAACGTAGGGCCTATATTGTATATGCCTACTTTATTCTTTTTTATGGAATAATTTATAAGTTGTTGAAATAAAATAAATCAAAGAAGTATTTTGTTTATGGTGGTACAATGAACCCGAACGCAGTGTTAAAATTTGTTGGCCTGGGTTTCTCAGGCTTACTGTATTTTGGTTTGTGTGTAGGGGATAGGGGAGTTTAAAATACAAATTGAGAGATAAACCTGCACACAGTTAAGTAGGCCTAACCATTACTTTTTAAAAACAAAATTAATTGATATTTATAGTCTAATACCATTGAATAATAACCGTAAAGAGGCAATTGAAATACTGTACTTGACAATATTACTTGCAGGATATGTACCAATAAACGACATGCGAAAGGAACTTCTCTTCCCCCCCCCCCCAAAACAATCAATCAGATCTTTATACTGTAGACCTATATTAAAACGAGACTGCTCCAGAGGAAAAATAAAATGTAATGCGTGAATATTTATATAAAACAGCAAAATAGCAGAGATGCAATTAGTGGTGGTGGGTAGTGGTTATCTTGTTGGCCATCGGCCGACTGAGATTAGCTGGATGGCAGGATCATTGTGTTTTTTCTTGAAAAATCAGATGAGAATGTGCTAAAGGTCGGAAAAAGAAAAAGAGGAGTAGGACTAGACATAGACAAATATGTTAAAAGAGTAAAGTTGGAAATATACGGTACTGTCTGTCCCAGAGATCGGAGCTCTCATCTGTCCAAGAGAAATATCCTCATTTTGACCTAAGAAGAATTATTTCCACTCTGAAGCTCAAATCATGCAAACAACCACAGTCCCGGGATTGACTGCATTAATATAACTTGCTAAAAGAAAATCTTATGACATTATTGAGGGGCGCTTATTCAAAATTAGAAGGGGGCGCTTATTCGCGCGAGTACAGTATTGTTACTACTATTATTGTTACCCTATTGGTCATGTTATTTCCGCTTTGTCATTGCCATTGTCTTTGCTATTGTAATTGATATTTTATTGTTATTTTTCAGGTGCTAATGCATGCAGAACACTAAGTGTCTGTAAGTAGCAAATGTGTATTTTTTAAAATTGTTATTTAAAATTAACTTATATATTTATCTATACTTTTTGAAGTTATATAACGACGGTGTTCTTGTTTATTTTAGTAGCACAAGGCATTATTCGGCTACGTGTTGCATCTGTCTCTTATACACATCTAAATCAATCAAATCTTTATACTGTAGACCTATATTAAAACGAGACTGCTCCAGAGGAAAAATAAAATGTTGATATGTTGTAAAACTGACTTTTTAAGACACAAAATCGTGTTTGACGAAAATCTCGGGAACGCTTAATGAGATTCAAATTTTTGAATATTCAAAAACTGGAGAGAAAATAGGGTGCAAAATTGGGTGGTTCCCGACGATATTTTCGCCATTTTAAAAATATTCAACCAGTAGTTTAATACTGTATCAACAATCTGTATCTCATTAACTGTTCCTGAATTTTTCGTCAAACACTTTTCGTGTCTTAGAAAAATCAGTTGTAAAACAACAATTTCTGATTCTGATTCTAATATCAAAATATTTATTTTCCTTCGGAGAAAGACGATATTTCGCTTCAAACCATTCTACGTTTAGGTCTCATATATATATATATATATATATATATATATAGGAACTATAGATATTATTTTTTTTTTGTGTCCATACGGTAAAACGTTCCAAAGTAAATGATAAAAGAAATTGTTTGGCTATAATGGGCACACACGAGTGGCCTGATGACAGTGCTACTAAAAGAGGTAACACCGCGCATAATAACCCCAAAATTGGAACAGGGGTGTTATAATGCAAGGTTGGCGGCCAATATTTAAACATTCTAAATCATGTCTAGTTGTGATGATCTTTTTTTTTTTTAACAAACTATTCATTTTTGTTTTATTTTATTTTTTTTTTTTTTTATTTGTTGGTTTTGTTTTATTGTGGTAAATAAATATTTCATTTCTTTAAAAGTTATGTCATATTATAAGTAATTTCGAATCTTTTTTTTTTTCAATTTCTATAACAGGTCTTGTCAATGCTGGCTGGGTTAGGTTACGTATGGACTCTACTTGATTTCGTTGTATACGAATATGAATTGTCAAATAATATGTATGTAGGTAAGTATGTCTATGACGTCATTTGGGTTCTGCGTTACTGAATAACTACCTATGAGCTACGATCATTCCTTCAGTTTAATATCCCTCATAATAATAATAATAATAATAATAATAATAATAATAATAATAATAATAATAATAATAATAATAAGATAATTTAATAGTGAAGATCGGGATGATTACGATGGTGGATGACAGCGATGGTGGTGACGACGATAATGACGAGACAACGACGACGACGACGACATAATAGTGTGCTCTAGATAGCCGCATATCCATACTTCTTCATATAAAGATGCATAGGCCTAATCTATTCATTGTTATTTTACTTTTGTACATTTCAGCCGGCTGGGTAGTAAATCTGTGCTTGGTGATATTACAAGTGTTAATGATCATCTACGGATTCATCCTTTTCATTGGCGCATTTTGTGTAAGTTGATCGTATTTCAGTCATTTTATCCAATAGCACATTGCGTCTCTATAAGGAAAGCACGAAGCATAGCCTAAACAAAAACTTTCCTGTAATTCAATCGTGCTTGTAGTCACGTGACCTTCATGAGACGTCAAAAAGGCATTAATTTTACCATGTTTTACACACGCACCCACACACACACACACACACCCCCCCCCACCCGCACACACACACACACCCGTACTACCTATATCACAGTACAACCGCGTAGTTACCATTATAACCATCGTAGTAATGGGCTTACAGTATGGTCGTCAATTTTCATTTAAGAAAAAAAGTAAAATTAAAATTTGATTTGTCTACAACAAAATGAAAGACAGGATTTTTCAATTTACATTACAGCCTGTTTCATTAGTTGTTAATGTTTTTTTCTCTCTATTTTGTGGCAGTGGAGCGACGCGGCAGCAATGTTTTATCTCGTCACAACGGCCATGACGTACTTTGCTGAGCTAGGTTGTGTTGTATTCATTGCTTATCTACATTCAGACGAGCTTGAGGTAAATATTATACAGTATATATAAACTTGATTTGAATATTATTTCGTATATATATATATATATATATATATATATATATCACAATTGTTATTAATATTATTTATCTATTTATTTATATTGGCTGTATTAAAGATAATTTGCAAATACAGAGTTCATTTCCATAATTATTGGAATTCCATATATTTTGTTCTATGACTTGAGTTACTAAATTTATATATATATATATGTATATATATGTATAATAATAATAATAATAATAATAATAATAATAATAATAATAATAATAATAATAATAATAATAATAATAATAATATTTATTTGGCATCAAAGACATGTTACAGTATTGCCAGGAAAGAAAATGGGCATAAACCCGAACAAGAAAAACTTGCACTCTTATCCAACATCTGAACTACAAATTAACAGCTCAAATAAAAAACATCAAATTAACAACAAAAAAAAATAATTACCTTCAACCAATCAACTGCAAAAACAGTAACAAACAACAGAAAAAAACAAAGAAAATGTAAAGGAGGGAAAAACAAAAAGCAACAAAAAAGAGGATATTATTGATCCATAAACAATCAACTAATACATTGAAAGGAAGTGTTTTGTAAGGGCTGATCGGAAAAAAATTACATAACAAAATATATTTATGATAAGGATATAACGGTCATCGGGCCCTCTGGGAATTGAAAAGCCCGGCTCACTTCGGCGTAATTAACGTTTTGATGATGAAGTATTTTCATATGTTTGTACACATTAGTGACCCTCAAAAAAGCCCCGCCTGTCCATAATATGTATGGCAAAAAGATAATGCTTTAAGGCATGAGGCACTGTTTAACCGTGGGGAACACTACACCTGTCTCTTATACACATCTTACTTAGCCTAATCGTAATCTGTAGTGGTGTATATATTTCATAATTCCGCTCTTATCATCTATATAACAGCGCAGTGGTTGTGACCCAGGCATTTAAGCCTTTGCTTCCATAAAATCGCTACTGTCGTAAAAGCGTTTTCACTGCAGTCGTTGCACTGTGTAGCTGTCCCGAAAGTCGAAGGCTCCTTAATTTTACCGACCAATCAGCAGCGCTCAAAGGAGTCGGCGATAGCATTTAGCGATTTTATGTAAATAATTACGCTAACGATTTTATTTATTTTCTATAATAATAATAATATTTAAATTAAAATATTATTACATAGTAGGTACTCAATGAAACCTCTTCGTAGCTAGCTGGGCATCTTGTAAAAAATCACTGGGGTAGGACCTAAATATGAAACACATAATATAGGGCTATAATTACAACAACAAAAAATAGTTCAGAAGTCCTATATGTGCATTGTATATATAGATTGCGGAACCCTATTGGAAATATTATTGTAAAATTATGTATTTTGTTATTAAAAACACATTAGTATCCTCAGTGACATAAATTGGATTATACACTAACGATATTTGGTAACAATAAAATGCATGTATATTAATATTAAATAATGTCTGAAGTATTATAATCTAAACTGATAGTACAGATATTTATGTGTAGAACATTATTGTAATGGCTACATAATAATTGTAGTCATTAATTTTGTAGTCTATTTTGACAATCTATTTTTTTACAAACAATAAAGCAATGGTTTTGGACTTGGTTG